GGCGTTCAGTTCTTGAATTTTCTTATTTATTTCGACTATCTGTTCATGTAAATCTTGGTCTTGATTGATGTGGTCTTCAGTAGACGGATTTTTAGCTCGAGCGTTCCATTTGGTTATTGAATAGTGTGGAATTTCGACGAATGTTAATCTGGAGTTTGGGTATTGTTGAACTGGTGTTTGAAATTTTTTAAGATCTTCGAATATATTGTTAGCTGCTGAAGAATGTTGGCTTGCCAATGATATAGTACGGTCTTTATTTTTTTAGATCAGGTCGCATGTTCCGAGCCAAATGTATAAATGTATATTTCCCAATTCTTTTATTTTGCTTTTGATGTTTCTCTCCAGCCAGTGTAGGGAGTTTTTGATGTTTGCTCCACTTTTATTCCACCATATAATTTGTTTGTCTTCAGGATGATAGGCTTGGGTCTTTAGATAGACCCCTTTACTGTCGGAGAGTACGACGGGTGTTAATGATTTTATGCCAACTGTGGGCGGTCTTGATTTTTGTAAATAGTCTCGTATTTTCTTCTCTGACATGAGCGGATTTCAAATGAATTCACCGTGGTTAGGGGATAGGCGGGCGTGTATTTCTATTAATATTTATTATTGAATTGTTTACTTTAGAAGTTTTTGTTGATGTTTGGCCTATATTCAAAATGTCGAGGGAAACTTCGTGAGTGGTCCGGCCTACCGGCTCGTTGTTATATACTGGATAATGATAATTTAGGAATTGTGTGTGGGCAATTCGAATGTATTGTGTTAGATAGTGTCAATTGTCTATTTTTTCACTACTTATTGGACTTTAGAAGTCCCCTTTCACCAAATAAAACTTTAAATTTTACGAAAGTACCAATAACCAACTTTCACCATTGAACCTCGTTTTAATGTATTTCATATTTCATAACTGAAAAACGGTAAAAGTGACGCTACCCAAATTTGAACTTGATCTGAGTTTTGTGGTAATGAGCATTGTGTGTAAGTCTCATAACATTTGGTTGAGGCTAACTTAAGTAGAGAACAGAAACTAAAAATTCAGCAATTTTTATACGACCGCAAAAAAATTTTTTTGGGATTGATTTTGGGGGTAATTGCCTCAAAATTTTAGGAATTAGGGGCCAAAAAGGGGCTAAAAACAAGCATTTTCCTAGTTTCATGACAATAACTTGTGTGTAAGTGTATGGATCTTTCTGAAATTGTACTACAAGGTTCCATATCACAAAGGGAAAGCTGGAATTGAGTTTGGGGGTAATTGCCTAAAACGTTTAGGAATAAGGGGCCAAAAAGGGGCAAAAAATAAGCACTTTTCTAGTTTCCAGGCAATAACTTGTGTTCAAGTGTATGGATCTCTCTGAAATTGTACTACTAAGGTTCCATATCACAAAGGGAAAGCTGGGTTTGAGTTTGGGGGTAATTGCCCTAAACGTTTAGGAATTTGGGGCAAAAAAACAAGCATTTTTATATTTTTCTGCAAGGTACCATACCACAGAGGAAAGGCAGGAATTGATTTTGGGGGTAATTGCCTCAAAATTTTAGGAAATAGGGGCCAAAAAGGGGCAACAAATAAGCATTTTTCTAGTTTCGGGACAATAACTTCTGTTTAAGTGTATGGATCTTTATGAAATTGTACTACAAGGTTCCATATCACAAAGGGAAAGCTGGGTTTGAGTTTGGGGGTAATTGCCCTAAACGTTTAGGAATTTAGGGCCAAAAAACAAGCATTTTTATAGTTTCCAGACAATAACTTGTGTTCAAGTGTATGGATCTCTCTGAAATTGTACTGCAAGGTACCATACCACAAAGGGAAGGCTGGGATTGAGTTTGGGGTGATGAATCATAAAGAAGTTCAAAAAATTTGGGGGGTGGGGGGGGGGAGGGATTTTTTTTTCCTTTTTTTCCTTTTTTTTTCTTTAGAATTTTCCATTTTAAGTTGGTTATTTTTTATTTATATATAAAAGCAAATAATAATGATATGGTTTGATTTCATCAAAAATTGAAATAATGGGGTTCTTTGCTATGCTGATTCTAACCGTGTATTTAGATTCTTAATTTATGGTCCCGTTTTCAAATTGGTCTACATTAAGGTCCAAAGGGTCCAAAATTTAACTTAGTTTGATTTTAACAAAAATTGAATTTTTGGGGTTCTTTGATATGCTGAATCTAACCGTGTATGTATTTAGATTTTGGATATTGGACCATAATAGGTAAATTAAAAAAAATCAAGTTCTTAGACCACATTCATTCTGTGTCAGAAACCTATGCTGTGTCAAATATTTAATCACAATCCAAATTCAGAGCTGTATCAAGCTTGAATGTTGTGTCCATACTTGCCCCAACTGTTCAGGGTTCAACCTCTGCGGTCGTATCAAGCTGCGCCCAGCGGAGCATTTTATTCTATTTGTAAACACGCATAACTCTAGAACGGTTGTGTATTAGTTTTATAACATTTGGTTGAGACAAACTAAAGTTAGAGAACGGAAACGAAAAATTCAGCATTTTTTATGTTTATAAAGGGACATAACTCAAGAATGGTAAAAGTCTGTATTATGTAGTAATAAGCATTGTGTATAAGTTTCATAACATTTGGTTGAGGCAAACTAAAGTTAGAAAACGGAAACAAAAAATTTGTACTTGATCTTAGTTTTGTGGGAATGAATATTGTGTATAGGTTTCATAATGTTTGGTTGGAGCGAACTTAAGTTACAGAATGGAAACTAAAAATTTTGCAATCTTTCGATTTATAAAGAGGCATAACTCAATAATGGTTAAAGTGACACTACCCAAATTCAACTTGATCTGTGTTTTATCAGTGGAAGTCAAAATTAAACATTGCATTGTATAAAGCATTGATTGTAGTTGATTCAACTATAATAAAAGGAAGATAACTCCAATTTTAAAAAATTACTTGATATTTTGAAGAAAATAAAAATTTTGCAATTTTTCCATTTATAAAGGGGCATAACTCTAGAACGGTTAAAGTGACGCCACCAAAATTCAAACTTGATCTGTGTTTTGTGGTAATAAGCATTGTGTATAAGTATCATAACATTTGGATGAGGCAAACTTAAGTTAGAGAACGGAAACTAAAAATTTTGCAATTTTTCCATTTATAAAGGGGTATAACTCTAGAACGGTTAAAGTGACGCCACCAAAATTCAAACTTGATCTGTATTTTGTGGTAATAAGCATTATGTATAAGTTTCATAACATTTGGTTGAGGCAAACTTAAGTTAGAGAACGGAAACTAAATATTTTGCAATTTTTCCATTTATAAAGGGGCATAACTCTATATCGGTTAAAGTGACGCCACCAAAATTCAAACTTGATCTGTGTTTTGTGGTAATAAGCATTGTGTATAAGTTTCATAACATTTGGTTGAGGCAAATTCAAGTTAGAGAACGGAAACCAACTTTGGGACGTACGTTCGTACGTACGTACATACTACGTACGTACAGACGGACAAGGGTAAAACTTAATAAATGCCCTCACCCCTACGGCGGGGGCATAAAAATGGTTTGTCCCACGAAGATGAATGGTCAGTACCTTTGGAAAATCGTTATATTGATTACGAGAACTATGAGAGTTCTAAAGATGTCACGATAACTCGGGCTAGACAGCGCAACAATAGGCGAAAAATGAAATGATTGATTGTTGATTGCTTAATGTCCAGTGGCAAATATTTCATGCATGTTCAGGACGAGGACAAATTCACAATAAATACAATAGGTTGGTCCTGTTATAGTGGCAGTCCGAGATGAAGTTAGACGTGGCTGAGTACTTGTACATCCCTTAGAGCCAAACGGACGCCCAACTTTGGCAAGGGTTTAACGGTCGATAGGAAGAAGATTGAAGTGACCATATTTCTATTCCCCAGTCACACACGGGGTGATTTGGGAAATGAATAGTCTGGACTGGTACTAAATGTAAAAATAACTTTTGTCCAAGACATGATGAAAATGACTTTGCAACAAATAGTCGGTGTACATACAAAAGTGAAAATAATTTTCGCGCTACTATAACTATAAGCCGTACTATCAACCGATCGATATAAAATACATATTCTATCATTTAATGGGCCACTATAAGGCTATTAAATTTAATCATGTTATTAACGGAGCATTTTTTTAGTTTTTTCATATCAATAGGAATTAAAATAACGTAACGGTCATATTGAAGGCCGTACTTTGACCTATAATTGTTTACTTTTTACACATTGTGGATGGAGAGTTGTCTCATTGGCACTGACTCCTGGGAACAGTATATCTAATAGTCAATATATATGTTCCTGCTGACTCATATATCACATCTTCTTATTTCTGTAATATTATTATAATCAATGTTATTCAAAATATGTAACTTCCTTAAATATTCACAATAAGATCCACGTTCTTGATATCTTGTTTTATAAACAATTAACCCACATTGGACTAGTATACGGACTACTATTAGTATAAAAGTCCCAGATCCACACAAGGCCTACATCATGACTATCGCGCGGACTGCATGTAATCAAAACCTGTTTTAAACTACATGTTAACATTGATTTTTATCAATGGGAACGTAATACAGTTTAGATTATAAGTGAAGAGTACACTAACACCACACCGAGTTTAAAAACCATCATGTTTCTACACTAAGGAAATGCCTGTACCTGTACCAAGTCAGGAATATGACAGTTGTTTCCCATTCGTTAGATGTGTATGAGCTTTTGATTTTGCCATTTTATAAAGGACTTTCCGTTTTGAATTTCCCTTGGAGTTCAGTATTTTTGTTATTTTACTTTTTTTCGACGGATTGGAGAGGCTCGATTGGATTAAATCGTCTTGAATATTGGCGGGAATTTATTACCTCCCCTGAAAGTGTCGTAATATTTTGAACTAAAACCGTATTTATATTTAGTAATATTTTGTTTAAATTAATGCTTTTTTTGTGTAAAAAGGTTAAATAATAATAATAAACAAAAGGAAAATTAACAAAAAAGGAAATTCTAATTAAATACGACTGTATCGAATTGCAGCATCTGGTTTCGATTTGATTGTGATTCTTGAAATGTTTATTAGGTTAGAAACTGCTATTCTCAAACACATATTACTGCATTAAACTTATACTTTTCATAGATGTAAAAAGCCATACATAAATTGCAACCGAGATCCTTTTAAATCGATCAGGTCCGGACGTGATGGTTTATAATTTTCTCAGTATTTTATGATACCCTAGCCTCAGTTGATATATAGCCGTATAGACCTAACCAACGGTCTTGTAATGAAATAGCAGGAAATTCCTACAAAAATTCAAATTTGACACAGTAGCTCGAAAACAGAATCCATAGCATAGTACTAACTGACTAAGTTAAACTGTTCAAGCTGCTTCCTCCAGGAGATTTATCCTCCTGGTCATTTCCTGGAAACAACCACCATGTACATGTAGAATCATGCTTTCACTTAACATTTGTTGTCGATGACAATTTAGGAAATTTTAGCATAAGTTATTTGTTCCCTCAGTCTCAACAGTTGTGGAATCAAACACATGCAATATCCCTTTATATGAAGTAGGTGCAGGTTGTTTCATTCAAGGTTAATTTGTACCTACGTTGAGACATATTTCTTACCTATGCAAATTTCACACTGTGAATGTTTCATACCTTTTAAAGAAAACATGTCTAATGTAAGAACTTGGAGTGAACAAGTAGGAAGCAATGAAGAGCTTTGGTAATGGTGCATTAAGAAAAAAATAAAAGTCATTTCATCATAGAAAATACAAAAAAGCATCTAATTAAACATAAATTCATTATTAAATCATAGAAAATAAAATAAAAGTATCAAATTAAACATAAATTTTAGATACAACACCTGATTAGAAATAGCTCTAAGAATCAATTTCAAATAGAATAAAGTTAGTTGATATTATACAGTGTTCTAGCTAGGCATGCTAGGATTTGAAAATAGAGAGTCACATATTTAAAAATGGCATTTTAGTGTGTTGACACAAGAAAAATCATTTATTCTATAACATTATAATGCAAAATGATCATATAAATTTGTATTTCTACATGATCATGATGATAAAACACCAGAAAAAGCAATATTAAAGGAGCACTTATAAATGTATACACTACTATTAAAAAAATCTATTTCTCTGTCAGGCAAAAAAGTTTATCAAAGAAGACACCAGTGCTGATTTAATAATAATAAAAAAATAAGTCTTCTAGTTTTCAATCAACATTGTTCAAGTATTTTGTCAAATTTTTCCTGATCACAGTTCAACTTCACTGTCAAACTTTTGGTTAAAGTTTGGGTTTAATATAATTAACAGTACATTTATGTAAGTGACTGATACCATTAATGATTAAGTCAGTAAATAGTCTTATTTGGTTTTATTTTAGATTTAGTTGGTATGTTATAATATATTGAAAATGTCCAGTAGTGGAGGGCTTACCGTTGAACAGAAAAGGAAGATAGAAGAAAATAGACAGAAGGCTTTGGCAAAACGAGCTCAGAAAACATCCCCAAACAAATCTGAGTATGGGGTCAATAATAACAGGACATCTGGAAATATACAAAAAACAGTAAATTTTACACCATCAACAAACAAAACATCTGTCACTAGTAGCTCTAAACTGGTGTCTACAACAGAAGTACAATATTCTGGTAATTTGTTTAAAGGAAATAATCTACCAAGGCAAACCTCTTACTCTTCATCAAACAATAAGAATAGCCTTAGCAATCAGATTAACAAACATAGTGCTCATACTCTCTCTAATCAAAATGTAGTTAGTTTATCGAGTCAAAACAGTTCTTCAGGAACATATAGACCATATACTAGTACTAGTGGTGTGGCTTCAAATAATGCTAGTTCAAGTAACAGTTCAAATAAACCATTCTGTAACACTTCTGCAGGGAATAGTGCTTCAAGTTCTGGTCTGCATAAACCATTCACTTCAACAATCTCACACAGTACTGAATCAAAACCAACACAGAACTTTAAAGAAATTCTGCCATCACAAGAAAAAAATGCAGATAAACAGAGGAATATATTTGGTGTTGGTGTTAAGCCAGTTAAAGGACAATGTATATTAATATCAAGAGAGAGGTTTGAAGTCAAAGTTGGTTATAGTCAGCCATTGATAGAGCTGTTTAAAAAGATGAAGACTAAAATGTATGGTAAGGATACATTTATAATTGTTATATAATGGGAATCCAGAGAGAAAGTTTTTTGAGAGTCAAAACTAAGTATCAAAAGTTGATTGTCACAGTAATAATGATATAAAATGTCTTCTGAAAGATGAATTAAAAGTGATCAGTAAAATACATATTATTGGCTACTACTGACATTTAGATAAGCATTAATTATCTTAAAGTACAATGTATTCTTTATCGGAGCAAGCCCTATCTATAACTTAATGTCTGGAAAAATATTCTGACTTTGAAAATATTTGACATATCGACAATGAGAAAATACTTAATATATTGACAATGAGAAAATATTTAATATATTGACAATGGAATACAGATTATCTTTAATTTTCGTTTGTTTTACATTTGATGTTCCAGTTTTATACATTGTAAGATAAGATAAGATAAGATAAGATTTATTTTATTAAAGTGTCACCATCCATTACAATATCTATATATATATATATATATACATAAAATCATGAGAACCTAACATTTAGTAAAAGGATGCCAGCCGAAAACGACTTATGAGACACTATCATTAAAACAAACAACTAATACATACATAAAAGGACAACTTTTTTATATTTAAAAAGTACTTCGTAAATAAAACCAAAAAAAAAAAAATCCATATATAATTTCTAGATGACAACATGTTTTCATCGGTAAAACATAGAATAAAGGGAACTAGCTAAAAGAGGAACCATATTCTCATTACACATAAGATAATGAAGCTTTTCAATATCGCATAAATACTCAAAATCAACATTTAAAAGACAGGCTTTGGCATATAATTCATGTCTGATATCAGAGTAAAAACAACAATTAAAAAGAAAGTGTTTTTCATCTTCAATTTGGCCACTATCACAAAACATACATAAACGGTCTTGTAGAGGCTCTGGTGGTCTAGCATATCGACCTGTTTCAACTTTAAATTGTAACGAACCAGCTCTGAAAAGTGACAAAAAACGTCAGTGGCATCTATTGTAGCTCTTACTTTTCCAGAAAATTTTGAAATTGCGGTTACTAATTATTACATGTAGATGCAACATACATTAAATATAAATACATGTTTGTAAGGACAATGAAATACAAGCTGTCATGTTGTTTTGAAGGGTAAGGGGTTTCTGCTACACAAGTGACGGCTGTCATGTTGTTTTGAAGGGTAAGCAGTTTCTGCTACACTAGTGACGGTTGTCATGTTGTTTTGAAGGGTAAGCAGTTTCTGTTACACTAGTGACGGCTGTCATGTTGATTTGAAGGGTAAGCAGTTTCTGTAGCACTAATGATGGCTATCATGTTGATTTGAAGGTTAAGCTGTTTCTGTTACACTAGCGACAGCTGTCATGTTGATTTGAAGGGTGAGCAGTTTCTGTTACACTAGTGACAGCTGTCATGTTGATTTGAAGGGTAAGCAGTTTATGTCCCACTAGTGACTGCTGTCATGTTGATTTGAAGGGTAAGCAGTTTCTGCTAGTCTACACTAGTGACAGCTGTCATTATGTTTTGAAGGGTAAGGGGTTTCTGCTTCACTAGTGATGGCTGTCATATTGATTTGAAGGGTAAGGGATTTCTGTTACACTAGTGACGGCTGTCATGTTGATTTGAAGGGTAAGGCGTTTCTGCTACATTAGTGACTGTAGTCATATTGTTTTGAAGGGTAAGCTGTTTTCTTCTATATTAATGACTGCTGTCACATGCATTTAAGGGTAAGAGGTTTCTGCTACACTTGTGATGGCTGTCATGCTGTTTTAAAGGGTAAACGGTTTCTGCTTCATTAGTGACTGCTGTCATGTTGTTTCACATGGCAAGTCTAAATCTGATGATAAGTCACATTTGGTTTAGTCAAACACAAGGAAAGAAGGATGGGATTGTGGCTACCACAAACATGACAAATGGAATCTATTTATAGTATTTGTGACACAGATACAGAGTATTCAGAAACAGTCAACAGAATCATAATGGTGTTTGTTAAACTTTCTAAGAGATGACCTTAACTTTACTGTACTACACATGCCTGTAGGTACTGCTGGAATGTTGCTACATGTACATAAAAATGGAAAGTTTGCATATAGAAAAATTGAAATGATCTCTTTTGTCATAAATTTTAGTTCCCAAAAAACCCTCAATAGATATAGGAAGATGTGGTATGAGTGCCAATGAGACAACTATCCACCTCAATGTCAATTTCTATATGTAATTTAAGATATGAATAAGTCCTAGCTGTATCCATGGTATCCTCTATTTCAATTTTAGTGGGATAGATGTGATTTCAATAATCAACTCACTTTTAATTATTTAGTGAAAATTTCCTTTGTTAGAACTGGGACTATTCTTTTTACAGAAGTTTGACAAAATAGTAAAGTTGAGTAATTTCAAAACTTATCTGGATACAAAAATGTGTAACTTTGCTTATGATATACCCTGTATTATTTTAGATGCTGTTACCAAAAAGTGGTCATTTATGCTTGAAGAGTATGAAGCATTCAGTAAGTTATTTTCTGATTACATACATTGAATGTCATTCTTTTGTACAGAGATTTTTTTGTCTGTGTAGTAACTTTCAAAATGAAGAACATCAATAAATGTAGAATATGAGTTTCAATAATGAATTAATCTACAAACAAGTCCTGGTTTAAGTTTAATGCATTTATAGGGAAAATGTCTACCAAAGTATTAAACTTCAATCCATCTTTTCAATAGAAAGTTGAAAAGTATTTTAAAATGATTTGCAAATTTCTCAAGTATTTAAAATTTTATATTATAATTCTAATAGTCATAATTACAATGAATAAAAACCATGAAATCAAATTCAAGATCCATGAAAATACAATTGTTTATCAATCTACTAAAATTGGTACCCATGAAAATAAATACAAATGTGTTTACCATTACCTATCCTGATCGATAAACCATGAGAGGGAATTTTAAAATTTAAAAGATTGGTTAACAGACAGTAAAGTGACTGTTGCAGTTAAAGTGTTTGTAAAGTTTTATAAGCACAATTGATTATATTTTTCAGTGAAGGAAGTAACAGTATTTAGACCACATGTGACAATAGAGCCTCTACCAAGGGCAATTTTACAGGTGTTTAATTCACAGTTAAAAGGAAATTACCCTATTAAAGACATCCCTAATGCTGACCTTTCTGAAGTGGATGTATCACTTGTCAACTCATTATTGTCCTTTCAGAGGGAAGGAGTCAAGTATGATTATGTTTAATTAGCCTGTATACTAGCCAGATGCATCCTTTGGCTTTATAATTATTCAAATATATCATGAGTAAAATGAGATATAGGTAAACACCAATGAGACAGCAACACAGTAATACAATAAAGTAAAAGACTCAAATTGCTGGGTTGCTCAGAAATTTTCTTAAAAATGGAGAATGCTCTATACAGAAAATTTAAATATTTGAAATATGAAATGTAAAAATTCCTCAAACAATATTAATAGCAGGTGCACAGTTTCAACATATATGTGAAGTTTCAGGGATCTGGGTTGAAAACTACACAAATAAGTTACCCACTCCCCTCTGCCCGACATCACCATACTATAAGCCAGTTTTGTCTTCGTCCAACCAAACCAGAAAGAAGAATTCTATGGGTTTCTAAAACATTGATGAAGGAATGAAATAAACAACTTTCAATTTAATTTATTTGATCTTTCCTGTATGTATTTAAAAAAACTGTTGAGTATGGATTGATGGACAATTTTTCAATTAAAGAATGTTATTTCATATTCAAATAAAATGCTCCTTTGGGCGCAGCTTGATACTACCGCCGAGGTTGAACCCTGAACAGTTGGGGCAACTATGGACACTACATTCAAGCTTGATACAGCTCTGAATTTGGATTGTGATTAAATATTTGACACATAATAGGTTTTGACTCAGAATGAATGTGGTCAAAGAACTGAAAAATTTGAAATTGGAATTTTACCTATTATGGTTCAATATCCAAAATCTAAATACAAGGTTAGATTCAGCATATCAGAGAACTCTAAGAGTTTAATTTTGGAAAGTTTGGACCCTTTGGACCTCAATGTGGACCAATTTGATAACAGGGCCCAAAAACCAAATCTTAATACAAGGTTAGATTCAGCATATCAAAGAACACCAATAATTCATTTTTTTTTTAAACCAAACAAAGTTTAATTTTGAACCCTTTGGACCTTAATGTGGACCAATTTGAAAACCTGCCCAAAAATTATAATTATAAATACATGGTTAGACTCAGCATATCAAAGAACACCTATAATTCAATTTTTGATGAAATCAAACAAAGTTTAATTTTGGACCCTTTGGACCTAAATGTGGAACAATTCAAAAACTGGGCCCAAAATCCAAAATCTAAATACATGGTAAGATACAGCATATTAAAAAAACAAAATTCAAGACTTTGAATTAAACCACATTGAAATTGGTCAAGAAATAAACAATTTATACAAAGTATTGTTTTTGGCCCCTTTTTCCTAAACAGTAAGGGCCATAACCCCAAAATCAATCCCAACCTTCCTTTTATGGTATGGAACCTTGTGGTACAATTTTATAGAAATCCATAGAATTATACTGAAGTTATTGTCTGGAAACCAGAAATTCCTAGTTTTTTTGCCCTTAATTCCTGAACAGTTTGGGTCATAACCCCCAAAATCAATCCCAAGCTTCCTTTTGAGGTTTGAAACCTTGTGGTACAATTTCATAGAGATCCAAACACTTATACTCAAGTTATTGCCTGGAAACCAAAATGTCTTCAGACGAGGACGCAGACATCGCCATAACATGATAACCCCATTACATGAAAGCATGATTTATGATAAATTGTTATTCCAAGAATATAATGAAAAAACTATCTTTTTTAAACTGTTGTAATATTATGTAGACTTTCACATGGAAACTAAATTACAGAAATATTCAGTGTTTTTTTAGTTTTAGTGTATCAAAGAATGGAAGGGTTTTGATAGCAGATGACATGGGACTAGGGAAGACAATACAGGCTATTTGTTTGGCATGTTACTACAGGGAGGAGTGGCCATTACTAATTATAGTACCATCTTCTGTCAGATTTGACTGGGCACAGGTTAGTTTATCTTGTTAAACACTTCGAGATAGAAGATGGATGAACAATTAATACTTAGAAATAACCAATAAATTATAGGAATTTGGCTTAAATTGTTATTCTTGTAAACTGCTGAAAAGTTTTCAGAGATGAACTTAACTGCTCACACCTTACTTAATTGTCAGCTACTATTGCCTTAATGATATTGATGGTTAAAATGTCTTTAAATGCACATTTGTAGGGTTCAATAATCAAGAACTTATTTAGTTGATGGGTGTAAAATATATTGTTTATCATATAACAGATAATTGAAGTACATATGATGGTATGCTAATCCTGTATTTTTAGCAAATTAGAAGATGGGTACCAAGTATAGACCCACAGGAAATTTCCGTAGCAACAACAGGAAAGGACACATCATCTAATCAAGTAAACATTGTGACTTATGACCTTGTGGCCAGAAAAGCTAAATATTTACAAGAAAAACATTTCCAAGTTGTAATTGTGGTAAGTTTTTCTTAGGGAACTGTAAATTTTATTATTGCAAAAAATTGCAACAGTTTAGGTTTTGCAAAAATAATTAAAATGGGAGCAGCTTGATACGACACTACATTCCAGCTTGATACAGCTCTGAATTTGGATTGTGATTAAATATTTGACAAAGCATAGATTTCTGACACAGAATAAATGTTGTCAAAGAACTGAAAAATTTGAAATTGGACTTTTACCGATTATGGTCCAGTATCCAAAATCTAAATACATGGTTAGATTCAGCATACCCAAGTTCACCAAGAATTTAATTCATTTATTTTTTAATGGACAATATTTGCTTAGTTTTTAAAAGGGTTCTCTTCAGCAAAAAAAAAATAAATAAATATAGCATTCTGAAAATTAATACCAGTATATACTGATACAGAATTACAAACAAACCTACCACGAAGTTCTTCAAAAGATTTACAAAATAAAAGAAGAATGTGTCTGAGGACAAGAATGGCCGCTCTCAAGCTTTGAAATTTTCTATGTTAAAAAGGGGCATAAATCTAAAACGGTAAATGACTCTGCCCAAAATGGAACTCTGTCAGTTTTGGTTCTTAGCATTGTGTATGAGTTTCATAAATATGGAGGAAGAAAACTTAAATATGGGTGCAGAAACGAAAAAATTTGCTAATTTCCAAGTTAAAGAGGCAAAATTCTAGAATGGTAAGGGACTCACTACTCAAATTCAACTCTGTCTGCGAGTTTTGGTTCTTAGCATTGTGTATGAGATTCATAAAATTTTAATGAGGAAAACTTGAGTTAGAGTGTGAAATAAAAATGGGACGGACGGACAGAAAGATGGAAGAATGGATGATCAAGGGTTACTTAAACCACCCATTGCCTATGACAGGGGCATAAAAACTGGAAAAAAAACAATTTCAAAATATCGTTTCTCGTAAATACAATGTCTTAAAAAATTTTATAAAACTTACCTTTAAAATTATTTCTCAAAATATCTAATAATGATCAGTAAATTTCAAACTATATTTATACATAATTTCTTCTCTAAAATTAGATTTGATGCTGTATCTATTTTTAACTATGACTACTTTCTATTAATTGTGCAATACAACCCTGAATTTGGATTGTGATTAAATATTGACATAGCCAGTGATAACATAGTTTCTGACACAGAATGAATGTGGTCTAAGAACTTGAAAATTTGAAATTGGACATTTACCTATTATGGTCCAATATCCGAAATCTAAATACCGATATATGGATAGAACCAGCATATCAAAGAACCCCAAGAATTCAATTTTTGATGAAATCAAACAAACTTTAATTTTGGACCCTTTGGACCTCAATAAGGACCGATTTGATAACAGGGCCTAATATCCAAAATCAAAAAGATGGTTAGATTCAGCATATCAAAGAACCCTATATATTCAATTTTTGTTGAAACAAAGTTTAATTTTGGACCCTTATTTGGACAAACTTGAAAACTGGGCCCAAAATCAAAAATCTGAATACATGTTAAGATTCGGCATATCAAAGAACCCCTTGAATTCAATTTTTGTTAAAATCGAACTTTAAACCCTTTGGACCTTAATGTGGACCAATTTGAAATACAAAACTTTGAATTAAACCACATTGAAATTGGTCAATAAATAAGCAATTTATAAAAAGTATTAGAAAAGTATGCCTCCTTTTCCTAATCGATTAGGGCCATAACCCCCAAAATCAATCCCAACCTTTCTTTTTTAGGTTGAACCTTGTGGTACAATTTCATAGAGATCCATACACTTATTCTCAAGTTATTGTCAGGAAACCAAATGTCTTAGGACGATGACGTTGCTGACAACGTTGTAACATTATATGACCGCAAAATTTTTGCGGTTGTATTAAAATGAACCATAACTGAGGAGGTGGGGGCTATATTATCTTCATGGTAATGAGATGTGTAAATGCTCATACAAATGCATACCAAATATCATTGACTAACTATAAGTGGTTCATTTTAAACTGACCTAATCACAATCTTTAACAAGTCAACTATGTCAAAGTTTCAAAGTCAATAGACCATGATTAAGGGGGCTGGACCAAATAATCACCATGGAAATGAAATGTGCCAATGCTATATACAACTGCATACCAAATATTATTGACTTACCAATAGATCTTCCCCTTAAAATGACCTAATCACAAACTAATACATTTTTGAAACTGTCACTACTGGGAACAGCATGCCTTTGTCTAAATTCATGCAAATGGATTTATTATTTGTACAAATGTATCCTTATTTATATATTTGCAGGATGAATGTCATTTACTGAAAAATTACAAAACAGCAAGATGTAAAGCAGCATTACCTATTTTACAGGTAATTTTTACGTTTACTGGATGTATTATGGTATACCATTGTCCGTCTGTCCGTCCTTCAGTCCGTCCTTCAGTCCTTCCGTCTGTCGTCAACATGTCGGACAATATCTCAAAAACTCTTTAAAAAAGGAGTAGGTCCAGTAAGACCCCTTTTTGGCCCCAAAATATAGCAGTTTTACAAAAATGTTAAAATGTAAACTTTAAGTTATTTATTGGTAAGAAGAATGCTTCTGCTACATAAATATGGGCTGTTTTTGACAATACAATGCACATATATCGGGTACTAGCATCCTTTAGTCAGGCTAAATTACTGAAATCTTCACAATTTTAGCATTTTAGTTAAATTTTAGACGGTTTCCGTCTAAAATGAAAGTGGCCGCATATGTTTTCATTCATAATATTGAAATGTAAGTTGTATTTGATGATACTACATAACATATATAAAGGTTGAGGATGAACACGGATGCGGCCACTTTCATTTTTGACAAAAAACATCTGAAAAGTGACATTTTTGGCATATTTGATATATTTTTCATATTTAAGCTTGAATCGGAGCGTTTTTAATGACTAAATCAGTTATAATCATTCACAAAAACTAATAGAATCAACTTAAATAGACACTTTAGTGTTCAAAAAGTGTCCAAAATCCTTCGTCATATGAACCTGAAATTTGAGGCCAAAATCGGGCCTTACCGGACCTACTCCTTTGCATGAAACTTTGGTGGTGAATTGTTTATATCTATTGACGTGAGCTCCCTTTGGATTTTTATAAATTTGAAATTTTATGTTTCCCAGTTGTGGGGTTTTATTCATGAAAAAAAGAGGGATTTTCCAGTTTTCGGACAATAACTCAAAAACACTTTCGCCAATTTGCAAGAAACCTTGGTGAATTGTTATATCTGTTGATGTGAGCTCCCTTTCAATTTTTATGAATTTTCGATTTTATGTTTCCGAGTTGTGGGATTTTATTCATTAAAAAAGGGGGATTTTCCAGTTTTCGGACTATAACTTAATAATGCTTTGAGCAGTTTTCATGAAACTTTGGTGAATTGTTTATTTCTATTAACGTAAGCTCCCTTTCGATTTTTATAAACTTTAGATTTTACGTTTCCAAGTTATGGGATTTTATTCATAAAAAAGGGTTGATTTTCCAGTTTTCAGACAATAACTCAAAAGTGCTTTGAGCAGTTTTCATGAAACTTTGGTGACTGGTTTATATCTATTGAAATAACCTCCCTTTAGTTTTTTTATAAATTTCTGATATGAAACTGAGGAGTTGTGAAACTTTATTCTTTGAAAAAGCGACAGGCATATCATGCACTCATGGCGCAGCTCTTTATTAAATTTGAAGAACATTTTGATTGGACAAGAGGATTATTATAAAGTTACATCAATTTGAACTTTCTACTTTTGTCATGAAAGTTGTCATAGAATATTTTAGAGGAATGAAACGCATTTATATAAATTTATATTTTCCAGATGTGAATTTATTTTTATACAAAAAAATATAACATAGGTGTTTAATCTCCAGATATAGGTGGAATACCTTTGAATATTTGAAAAAATGGGGGTCTCACCCAAATTTCAGAGAAAATGAATGTCAAAAATAGGGAATCTCCCACTTACTACCTATTCACCATTATTTTTCTATAAGAAGTAGTTTGTTCTCAGAAGGAGTATGAAAAAAAATTTAATTGTGAATGTGATTTTTTTCATGATTATAGCACCAAAATGGGTAAAAATTGATGAAAAATGGGAAAATCATTAAAACTGGGGTACTTTCAAATGGCCCTAGCAAAAAAAGAAGTGCACCACCATATGATTTTTTCTTCATCAATTACTTTCTTACAGTCATATAAACACAAAAATTAGGTTAAGAAAAAAAGTTTAATTCTGGAAATTCTTGGCTCCTCAGAGGTGTACATCCTTAATAGGATGTGCAGTTACAAATTATCAAGCAATTAGTAAAACAAGTTCAGTTAGTAATAAAGATTTTCATTTCAGAATGCTCATCGAGTGATATTACTCAGTGGTACACCAGCACTTTCCCGACCATCAGAGTTATTTACACAGATATCAGCTATTTCTCCATTCATGTTTAAGTTCCAAGATTTTGGTATTCGATACTGTGATGGTAAACATGTATGTAGAAACTTCTCTTGATTATTTATTGAAAATCTGCTTTAGAATTTAAATTTTCAGTTTTGAAGTTAGGTATATATGATTTAAAATAGCAGGCTGTCAATCTTATAGCTATTTGAAGATATAAATGCATAATATATTATCTCATGTACATCCACCTTGTGTACCATCTCATTCAACATTCTTTTTCTAGACCCACCTGAAAAAATATCAGAGCATCCATACTGTTCATTCGGATTGTATGAGTAAGAGTATGGGCATTTTCAGTTTTGATTAGATATGATTGAAACTTTGATAAAGCCTTTTCAAACTCAAATTAGCATGTAAATACTAGTTGACCTTAGATTTAAGTTCCAATTTTTATCATCTAAGGCTCAAACTAGGTTAGCAAATTTGCATTTTTTCTTATTAACTAATTTTATATGATTTTTTCAAAATTTAGGCTATAAAGGTAAGTATCTCCTATCCTTTGGTTCCTGATTGATATATTTGTAGTAGTTAGTTTCCTTTAAAACAAATATGGCAAATTTTACTTGTAGTTAATGTACAGGTTTTTCTCAATAAACTCTATGAAATATATACGAATGACAAAGCTTTCTACAACAATATGCATATATTTCATAATTGATTTCTGCAAAGCATTTGATATATGTCGAAGACTGGTGAAATGAAAATGTATAGAAATAGAACATAAGAAAACTTTCCTTATTTTATTCAATGTTAATAGTATACTACTAGTAACATTTCATATAAGCTTTTGTTGTTTTCAGCAACCATGGGGTTGGGATTTTTCTGGATCCTCAAATATGGCAGAACTTCAGATTCTTTTAGAAGAAAAAATTATGATCAGGTAATGTGTATGAAGGTATTATATACACTAGTTTCAGGGGGAAATGATAATCGGCACATGTTTTTTTTATGTTTTGTCAAGTACAAGATAAAAAATGAGTTGTCATATGAAAATTGTTGTGCTGGGTTCATTAAATTACAAAGTTATCATTAGATATGTCGCTCTTTTCAGGGGTTCCAAAGAATTATTAAAATCTGTCTAGAGGCAAGTCAGAAAATGTTGTCATGAAATTGTTAGACATGAGGTTTGCTAATACCAAGGCATTCCATTTTTCATTATTTCACTTCAAAATAACAACAATATTACAAATTGATGGGACCATCTATAGAACATATATAAAAGAGACATTAAACCAAATGAAATGAATGATCAGAATAGTTTATACAAGGAGTTTGAAGCATACATATTTACTACTGGGAAATAGTTTATGTGTGGTCAAGCCCCCTCATTCACAGGATTCCTGAATTATCTTTATACAAACATGTTTCACCCAAGAGAGCAGTCCCAATACTTACACAAAATGTTTGTGTGTGTGTGTGTATAATGACAAACAAAAGACATGTTTGACTTCCATTTTATTATTATCATTATTTCTAATAGGAGATTAAAGAAGGACGTACTTAAAGAATTACCAGCCAAAGTACGACAAATGGTACTTCTGGATCCTGGTGCAATTAAAAGTACTAAAGATTTGAAAAAGGCTTCAAAAGTGATGGACATAAAAAATTTGAAGGTGAGGAAATTTATGTAGATTGTAGATGTGAGCTGTTCACAAGCACACATTGCAGATCATTTAAGTGACACAGAGTTATTATTTTAAAACTAAACAATGGTTAATTGAAAGCTTTGATTCACCTCTATAACTGACAGGTAAACAAGGGTTAATTGAAAGCATTGATTCACCTCTATACCTGACAGGTAAACAAGTACCAGACATTGATCAGTCTTTATGAAGTTTACTTTTATGTTTGAATGGTTAGCAACTAATTAGTTTTAGCAAAAAATGTAGTAGTTTGTCAAATTATATCAAAACTAAGTAAATTTAAAGGTTTTAAAATAAATTAAGGTCTTTCCACAAAAAAAAACATGTATTTTAATATGAAAATAGTAAAATTCGGTTTAAAATGTCATTTCCAGCGTCAAATGAAAGCTTATTGTACGCTGATTCCAAAAATATATGGTTTCTATACAATATTTTTTAAATAAGGGAGATATTTGTTACTTCTGGTTTGAAAAATGTTACTTCCGGTATTATTCAAACATTTAATTGACACTGATACCAAAAATATCTGGTTCTATAAACTTTTATATTAATTAAGTACAAAAAAAAGCTACTTCCGGTTTACACAAGGTCACTTCTGGTTGGCTTTTCTTAGGTTAAATGGCTTGAAACCTAATGCAAAAAAGTCCCATGGCTTTATCATGTTTACATGTTTAGATAAAAGCAAAGGTCAAAATCTAGAACGTCAATTTAACCTATGACCTTGAGCTCAATTTCAAGGTCATCAACCAAGGACCTCAAATCAAAAGACCCTAGGTCTTAATTATATTTGGTTCATGAGTTATATCACCATATGCATATTTTTAAATAAAAGAGGAGAGAAAACTCTAATTTGATGTAAGCGTACCCTTTAAACCAAAATGTTTGTGTTACGACATGTCACAACTAACAATTAAGTAAAAATATGTTGTCTATATCTTATATTGTGTTTGAAAAGAGGTGAAAATAAGCCAAAATCCAAATTTAGAAATGACATTGACATTTGACCTTGACCCTATTTTCTTTTTTTTGGACCAAGGACCTCAAATCAAAAGACCCTAGGTCTCTATCACTTATGGTTTACCAATTACAATTACATTTTACTTATTCTAAATACAGAAGGGGAAATAACTCTCATATGGAGTTTCCAGACCGCTTCGGTCAAAATTGTTTTCAAGATCCTGAGGATATAACGAGCAAATTGGTGAAATAATTTTGTCGTAATCTTTAACAGTTGGGAAGGAGATTTGTACACAAGAAAAACAGTGTTTGGGGAGATAACTCTTACAATAAAAAGTGTTTGGCTTAACAGGGTCAGTTTCAAAATAGTAATAATCAGAACAAATACAAAAGGTCTTTCCACAGAAAAGTGGAAAAACCTCATTAACCGAATCACATTGTTTGCATATGTACCTATGTGTGCAGGTATGAAGCATAAAATATGCTTACAATTTTTTATTAGACCGCAAAATTTTTTGCGGTCATATATTGGTATCACGTTGTCATCATCGTCGTCGTCCGAAGACATTTGGTTTCTGGACAATATTTTTAGTATTAGTAAATAGAAATCTAAGAAATTTAAACATAAGGTTTATAACCACAAAAGGAAGGTTTGGATTGATTTTGGGGGTTATGGTCCCAAGGAATTAGGGGCCAAAAAGGGGCCCAAATAAGCATTTTTCTAGTTTCATGACAATAACTTGTGGAACAGTGTATGGTTCTCTCTGAAATTATACCACAAGTTTCCATACCACAAAGGGATGGTTAGGATTGGCTTTGGGGGGTTATGGCTCAAACCGTTTAGGAATTAGGAGCAAAAAAGTGAGAAAAAACAAGGGTGTCCTGGTTAATGGACAATTACTTAAGTACAAATTACAGTGTAAGGGAAGTAATTCAAACACACGAGGAGGGGGGGGGGGGGGGGGGGGGTAAAAAAAAATTGGTGGTGGGGGATGAGGGGGGACAATTTTTTTTCAAGATTTCAGAAATCAAAAAGAAAATCCTTCAAATTTTTTTTTTTTGAAGGGGGGAGGTCAATTCGCAACTGCATAGTGTATTGCACAAAAGCAAATTCAAATCATACAACTTTGCCCCAACTGTTCAGGGTTGGACCTCTGCGGTCGTATCCAGCTGCGCTCGTTGAAGCAATTTATTTTTTTAAGAATAAATGAATTAGTTTTATAACTAATTGTATGTTTCTCTCAAGTATTTATTTGAAGAAACATGAAAAGGTGCGAAGGTTTGGGTGTTTGTCAGAAATTTACAGGTCATGCTTAGATTTTATGTACTCCATCTCTGTTCTGAGCTTTATCGCTGTCAAGTCAACATCTGTTATTAGGAAGACATGTGCCAGTAAACTTTCTGGTCAGAATTTTATTGCCATTATAAGTCCCTTGACATTCTGCCTTCAGAGGTATCACTGTTAGTTAACTGAACCCATATTGATGTATGAGTTACTGTCAGTAACAGATAACAAGCATCAAAATCTGAAGTATCTTATTTTCTGGTGGTGTGACCAACTACTCATCCCCTTCCATGGTCACCTTGATTGGCCAGAATGCCTTTTGATACAAAAACAAAAGAGATTAAAACGGGATTGGATAAAAAATATCTGGCAGGCTAAAAAAATTTCTGAAGTCAAGAATAAAAAAAAAAAAAAAAAATCCCTGCATTCATAACGCAGAATGCATATTAATCATAAAGAAGACCAAAACTGACAACTTAATAAAAACATTATAATATGACATAGTGTCCAAGATTGCTGACAGTCATTAATTTTACATTTTGGATTATGTCATATTTCAGGGTATGGAAAGAAGAGGTGCTCTGTTAGAATATTTTCACCATACAGGAACAGCCAAAATACAAGCTGTTAAGTAAGAATTGTAATAGATTTTCTCTGTTGGAATATTTTCACCATACAGGAACAGCCAAAATACAAGGTGTTAAGTAATATTGTAATAGATTTTCTCTGTTGGAGTATTTTCACCATACTGGAACAGACAAAATACAAGTTGTTAAGTAAGAATTGTAATAGATTTTCTCTGTTGGAATATTTTCACCATACAGGAACAGCCAAAATACAAGGTGTTAAGTAATATTGTAATAGATTTTCTCTGTTGGAATATTTTCACCATACAGGAACAGACAAAATACAAACTGTTAAGTAATATTGTAATAGATTTTCTCAGTTGGAATATTTTCACCATACAGTATAATAGATTTTCTCTGTTGGAGTATTTTCACCATACAGGAACAGCCAAAATACAAGTTGTTAAGTAATATTGTAATAGATTTTCTCTGTTGGAATATTTTCACCATACAGGAACAGACAAAATACAAACTGTTAAGTAATATTGTAATAGATTTTCTCAGTTGGAATATTTTCACCATTCAGTATAATAGATTTTCTCTGTTGGAGTATTTTCACCATACAGGAACAGCCAAAATACAAGTTGTTAAGTAATATTGTAATAGATTTTCTCTGTTGGAATATTTTCACCATACGGAACAGACAAAATACAAGCTGTTAAGTAAGAATTGTAATAGATTTTCTCTCTTAGAATATTTTCACCATACAGGAGCAGACAAAATACAAGCTGTAAAGTATTAAAGAATTGTAATAGATTTTCTCTATTGGAATATTTTAACGATACAGAAACCATTTAAAAAAATTTTTTAATTGTAATAAAATGCTCCGCTGGGAGCAGCTTGATATGACCGCAGAGGTCAAACGCTGAACAGTTGGGGCAAGTATGGTCACTACATTCAAGCTTGATACAGCTCTGAATTTGGGTTGTGATTAAATATTTGACACAGCATAGGTTTCTGACACAGAATGAATGTGGTCAGAGAGCTGAAAAATTTGAAAATGGACTTTTACCTATTATGGTCCAATATCCATAATCTAAGTACAGGTTCGATTCAGCATATCCAAGTACACCAAGAATTGAATTTATTTATTTAATAATATCTAAGCTTTTAAAGGGGTTTGCTCCATCAATATTATATATGTATAAATATAGCATTCTGAAAATTAATTTATACAGAAAACTACCAGGAAGTTCTTCAAAAAATTTACAAAAAAACTGAAAAAACAATTTCTAAAATATCATTCATCATTAATACAATGTCTTTAAAAAAATCTATAAAACTTACCTTTCATCATTTTCAAAATAACTTATAATAAACAATTCATTTCAAACTATATTTATACATAATTTCTTCTCTAAAAATAGAATTTATGCTGGATCTATTTTTAACTATAAATCTACTTACAATTTCTATAAATTGTGCCATACAGCTCTGAATTTGGATTGTGATTAAATATTTGACATAGCATAGATTTCTGACACAGAATGAATGTGGTCTAAAACTTAGATATTTGAAATTGGACATTTATCTATTATGGTCCAATATTTAAAATCTAATTACATGGTTAGATTAAGCATATCAAAGAACCCCTTAAATTCATTTTTGTCTCGCCTTGACGGAGTCAAAAAGCGAAACATAGGTATGCTGTTTCCGGCAACGGCGGAGACGGCGGCGTCAACAATGTATTACTGTGGATTAATTTATTTTTGTAGGTACCAATTTTCGTGGATTGAGGAAAAGTAGCATTTTCATGGATATTTAATTTCGTTGTTTTGGCAAAGTCTGCACACATTCCTTTAGAAAACTTGTAATTCGTTGAACATTTAAATTCGTGGTTCCACTGTACCCACGAAATCCACGAAAATTGGTATCCAACGAATATTAATGAATCCACAGTAGTTTGTGATTAGGTCTAGTTCATGGTGAACCACTAGTGGTAGGTCAATGATATTTGGTATGCAGTTGTATTAGCATTGGCACATCTCATTACCATGGAGATTATTTGGCCCTGCCCCCTCAGTCAAGGTCTATTGACTTTGAAACTTTGCTTAGTTTACATGTATTAGTTTGTGATAAGGTCAGTTTATGGGGAACCACTAGTGATAGGTCAATGATATTTGGTATGCAGTTGTATTAGCATTGGCACATCTCATTACCGTTGAGATTATTTGGCCCCGCCCCCTCAGTCAAGGTCTATTGACTTTGAAACTTTGCTTAGTTTACATGTATTAGTTTGTGATAAGGTCTGTTTATGGGGAACCACTAGTGATAGGTCAATGATATTTGGTATGCAGTTGTATGAGCATTGGCATATCTCATTTCCATGGAGATTATTTGGCCCCGCCCCCTCATTCATGGTCTATTGACTTTGAAACTTTTGCTTAGTTTTCATATATTAGTTCATGATTAGGTCAGTTTAAGGGGAACTGTTAGTGGTAGGTTAATGATAATTGGTATGCAGTTGTATAAGCATTAGCACATCTTATTTCCATGGAGAATATTTGGTACAAGTTAATGTTTGTGTTTAGGTTTGTTTAAAGGGAACGACTTATGAAAAGTCAATGGTATTTGGTTTGCAGTTGTATTAGCATTGGCACATCTCATTTCCATGGAGATTGTTTAGCCCTGTACCTTCAGTCATGGTTCATTGACTTTGAATATTTGCATAACTTAAATGTTAAAGTATTGCTATTTTAATTTCAACACTTGCATTATCAAAATAACAAATAGGCGAGACATATCTCTGTGTTAACATTTTATTTTTATGATATCAAACAAAGTTAAATTTTGGACCCTTTGGACCTCAATGTGGACCAAGGCTTCCAAAACGGCCATATTTGCAGGACAATATAAATTTATAGGACATTGTCCGACTGGGCCAATCATGAAACAGACATCCTACGTGGGTTTGCCATTTCAACATTCATTTAATTCAGAAAAATCAACCATTTTGCCTTGACCTTGTGTCTTAAACAGTCACACTTTTCCGGTCATAAGTGACAATACTCTATAAACAAGCCCTACTATAATCCCCTCTCATTACAATCAAGGTTAATTAAGTGTCTAACAGGTGAGATTTACCTGTGATCACCTGTGTCAGGTAAACTATTTGTAACGGATTTCAATTGATCATTTTTGAAGTTATTTTTTTTATTAAAATTAAAGACATTCATGGTTTAAATATATCTACTTTTTAGCAAAACAGATTTAGACTATCAGAAAAACATATTTAAATAAAACCATAAGATCATAATTTACAAAGGTGTCAGACAGAACCAAGTCGATTGTAATAATAGAAGTGTGCACAAGGGTGATATTTATTATCTAATAATGCGTCCAAATTCATCCAAAACGAAAAAAATGTCATTTATTCCATTTTCTTACGTTCATCTCAAGAATTTTCCCTGAGAAATAACTTGGAAAGAACTGCCTAAAATCAATAATGCTAGATAAAAATATATGGATTTTGCACAACCATATCTGTTCCGCGTTCTATCTTCTTCTAGTAAATATCCAGTATTGGAAAACGTGTTTATCAAATAACTAAGCTGGTCCTCAACTGACTGATATTCTTTGTTAGTCTGCGGATATATATAGATTCTTACATTGATACCAGTGGATTATCGGATTTATCCAATCGAGATAGTTAAATTATCAATTTTAAAGTCCGAGCCTTGGCGAGGACTTTAAAGTTTATAATTTAACTATCGAGATTGGATAAATCCGATAATCCACGAGTAACTATGTAAGAATCTGTTTCTCTAATGATTGAAAAATAAATTTTCCTTTTTTGCTAAACTAAAATCCCCTTCGAGTGCCTTCCACTTTCCATAAAGTTGTCAATTTCATTAACACCTGTTAGCATATTTTGATGCATCCAGTGAGCTGAGAAAGGTTATGACCCTTAAACTCATCCAATCATCATCTGAGATCACTGGCAACCACACGTTGATTAAATTTTTTTATACAATGGGTTCGGAAAGGGATAAATTTCCAAAGAATTAGAGAAATGCCAATTTGAACCATGTACTATCAATGTAATTGCTAATGTCAAAAATGAAATTTATATAAAAACTGAAAAAGTATGAAGTCTACGAAGTTTATCGTTCTTTAATAGTTTAATGGCTTTATCATATGGATATGTCCATCTTTTGTTATTGGGTACCCTGTCTAAAGGGATAAAAAACAGGATTGAAAAAAATGTCCGGCTGGCTCAAATATTTTTTAGAAGCCCTGATGTGGATCAATTCAAAAACGATGCCCAAATACAAATTCTAAATACAGTTAGAATCAGCATATTAAAGAACCCTAAGAATTCTAGACTTTGAATTAAACCCCATTAAAATTGGTCAAGAGTTGGTCAAGAAATAAGCAATTTATACAAAGTATTTATAAAGTATAGTTTTTGGCCCCTTTTTTCCTAAATGGTAAGGGCCATAACCCCAAAAATCAATCTCAGCCTTCCTTTTTTGGTATGGAACCTTGTACAATTTCATAGAGATCCATAGACTTATAATCCAGTTATTGCCCAGAAACCAAAAAATCCTAGTTTGTTAACCCTTTTTGGCCCCTAATTCCTAAACTGTTTGGGCTATAACCCCCAAAATCAATCCCAACCTTCCTTTTTGAGGTATGGAACCTTGTGGTACAATTTCATAGAGATCCATACACTTAGACACAAGTCATTGTCCTGAAACAAGAATAATGCTTGTTTTTGGCCCCTTATTCCTTAAAAGTATGGACAATTACCCACAAAATTAATCCCAACCTTCCTTTTGTGGTATGTAACTTTGTGGTACAATTTCATAGAGATCCATACATCTTTACTCATGTTATTGTCTGGAAACCAAATGTCTTCGGACAATAACGACAACGTCATAACATTATATGAACGCAAAAATTTTGTGTTCCTATAAAAATTGTAATACATTTCTATTATAATGAACAGTAACTTGAAATGTATATCATATAATAGTCATGGAGTAAGATCCATGTAAAAAGGCAACTTTTTGATTGTGGTGGATGTATTAGTAAATATTCATGTTTGGTCTGAAATGGGACATTAAATTTATAGTAGCAATAGGGAGATAAGTTGCCATATAGCCTGTGCAGTAGAGAATGCAATCATTAACATTTGGAACATATCTGTATGTGAACCTCAGTAGACTTTGTTAACCTACCAAATTACTAAAACTGAAATTGTTGTCAAAACAGTTTTGCTATGGACTTTTGTCTAAAACAAACTTACAAATTATAAGGTATAGTTGCAGAAAAAGAATAGAGAAGTTTCTATAAAAGTTATCCTTAATTTCTCAAGTTTTTATGTCCTGCTTATGACAGTTGTTATATCAGTCAGATAAAAAAAGACAATACTTAACTGTAGGAATACTAGTTGTTAGTTTATATTCATAATGAGAATAAGAAACAGAATTTCATAGATAATATGTGTATTGTGAGAAGAAGTCTATATTTGATAATATTAATTTTGACATTATTATGATAAAATATTTCTCTATTTTTTTCAGAGATTATTTGACAGATTTATTTGAAACAGACAGAAAATTTTTAATGTTTGCCCATCACCAAGAATTTTTAGATTCTGTAGAAGAATTAGCTCAATCTAAAGTAAGTTAACTTATATAAGAAAAATAGGATAAGTCATACTTATATACATAAGTTTGTATTCACTATCATAGAAATATCATGCTATAAATTTGCTCACAAATGATTATCAATAAAAGCACCTCTTCAAATTTAACAGACAAAATACAAGTCTGTTCAAAAAAGTCCTGCTGACTTCTGAGAGGAGTTTTTGAAGAATGAACTAATTTAACAGTTTTTCTATTGATTTAAAGAAATTGAAAAACAAAATGTGAAAATTTTTCGAAAAGTTTTGTTTTCAGAAATTTCAGTTAAAATATGTGATGAAATAGTGTTATTTATTTAATCTAACAACAATGAAACTTAATTATATCATGAAAGGGTTAGGTACTTGGAGCTTGCTTTCAGTATCTGCAAGCATTCTTTGATACAGTATTATATTTTCTCTAATTCATACCCGATTTATCCTTTTCGTGACCTGTTGAATATTTTTATTTAACGTGTGGTTAGTTTGATCTCAGTTTTTCATTGGTCAAAATTCGATTATGACATAAAATTTTCTTGCTTTCCTCGGAATTTCTTATTGTGACGTCATGAAAAAGGGTGACCATGCCTGATGACGTCACACAGAAAGAACACATCTTTTTGCAGATCATTCGAAAATTCGGATTAAGACTGTCTGTATATCGTCAAAAAATCATTAGAGAAACATATTCCAACACCAAATCTCGTGCAATACAATATTTATCCACTTTCAACAGTTCAATTTTTACACATGTAATGTTAATTTATGCTGTTTTTTTTTTTTACAGCTTGGAAAAAACTATATCCGAATAGATGGAAAAACATCACCAGAAAAAAGAAATTACTTCTGTAAGAAGTTCCAGGAAAATCCAGATTATAAACTGGCTATTTTATCAATCACAGCTGCTAATGCAGGCATTAATCTATCAGCAGCTACTTTGGTTGTGTTTGGTGAACTTTTCTGGAATCCAGGGGTTAGTATCCATTAAAATCAAAGTCTTGTTAAAAAGATGTTTGCTTTATTAAGTTAGATTAAATTTGTTTCTAGCATTTTTAAACGTCATTTGTAAACTTGTTAATTTTGAATATCAACCCTCATGGCATATAGCAAAGATGTATCTGTGCTTTACTTGTTGATAAGATGATTTGGACATGCATTGTTAGTTAATTTTGACTACATTACATGATTTACTGATTTTAAACTTTTGATTCAAAAGACTGTATAACCTAGTAATCTTTTCAGAAATCAAAATGACTCTTTACCAGATCATGCGAGATTATATATTCTAATGCAATTTTTATGTAACAATTTTTATTCATTGGCTAAAAGTTACCATCAAATCCACAGTTGACATGTTGTAACTAAGGAGTGACCAGCCATTTTGAATTGCTTGGATCAACTAATGTTCGGTTATTACAATATTATCCAAAATAAAACACCTACCTCAAAAATGCCGTTTTGATGTGGTATTAAATCTTTGAATCTTAGAAGTAACGTAATAACCTTCAGTTTGTAAGTTTTCATTTGTATGACGTCAGGTTTAATCATGACATCTATGTGCCAAAATCATTCATGAAGTTTCACGGAATTTTATTTTATTTCAAATGTATACATTTTTTCAAACTTTAACATATTATTTCTTTTTGTAATGTATTAGAATCAGAATAAAGTACTGTAGTTGAAGAGTTGAATTTTGATTTGACAGTAACAAATATCCATTTTACTGTCTCCGCTTGGCGTCGCCAGTAAAACTGCATTTGCGACCGTCAAATAGCTGAATCAGCATCTCTTCAACTACAATACAGTTATTCCTTCAGTAATGTACATAATAAAATTCTTCTCAAGTTTTCACTCGTTTTTTAAACGAAATCATTTCACATAGACGGACAAACAAAAAAATTGTTTTCATGAAAAATACCTGAATTACTAGAACTACTATTTATTTATAGATACTTGTACAAGCTGAAGACAGAGCACATAGAATGGGACAACAGGACATGGTCAGTGTACATTACTTAGTGGCCCAAAACACGGCTGATGACCAAATATGGTATGTTAAGTAAAATGAAGGTATTTTTATTGATTAGTATAGAAGACAAAATCAATATTTTGTGCTTTATAAAACTCATCGTCCGAAGAATGATATGTTATTTTCAAGGTACTCAGCTAGGGTATTCATTTAGGTATTTTTATTATAAACTAAGTGGTAAATACAGATAAATTGTATGTGTAATACAATCATTGACAAGCGTGCTGTATCAGCCACCCGTGATGATATCGATATCAGCACGGTTGCAAAGGCTTTATCACACCTTTAATCTGTATGACGTCACGTCATCGATTGCAGTCACTGTTGCAAAGGCTTTATCAAACCCCTAATCTGTATGACGTCATGTCAAATCTATAATCTGTATGACGTCATTTCAAACCTCCTCACCTGTATGACGTCATGTCACATAAAAAACATCTACGTGAGGTATATGTATATAATAAAGTATATAATATATGATATGGCTTTTTCAATATCAACCCGAGACACAAATATAATCCCAAGAGCTCTGCTCTTGGGATTATATTGGTTGAGGGTTGATACGGGTGTGATTTTTAAAAAGCCATATGATATTCCCTATTTATTATATTAAGATAAACTGAATGGCTTTATCAGGATTCTATAAGTCAGTGGTTGTTGTTTGTTGCCCATTAATCAATGGTAATTATGCTGAAAATAATAAATGAAATTTTATAAAGAAGTGTTTTAGAGGGATTTTTGTAAAGAAAGAGGTTTTATATCTTCTTGTATTTATAGGCCCTTGGTACAGAAGAAATTAGATGTTTTGAACAAGGCTGGACTAAGTAAAGATGACTTTTCTTCTGCAGATACAACAACAACAAGACTAAAGGTATCTACAATTCAAAGTATCATTGTTTTTGAAATTATAGAAAAAGAGAAATATCTATTAAATGTGTCTATTGTTGAAGTCTGTAATTTTACTCTTCCAATGTTTTTTGTGTTGTGGGAAGGGGCTGGCATATTGTTTAACCTTCGTCCTTCTTTGGTCCTACATAGGGTTACTTTTACACTTTTCATGAACTTTTTATATTACATATGGTGTTAGTACATATACTAAGGTTGTGCATATTATCAGAATTATAATTTTTGTCAAACTTTTTGCAAATGACAAGATGAAATGTGTGATTTCTATTTGAATGCCTGCAGGCTACATGGTTAAGTCTGGGTAACAATATTAGTATTGTCTGAATTGAGATTTATTTCTGTATAAATCTTTAATTTCATGTCTATTTTTCTACAGGATAGCAGGCAAACAGATTTGATGCAGTACTTTGAGGAATCCTTCATAGAAGAGGATGACAGTTTTATTACTGAAAATGTTGACCAAATAGAAGGACATGATGACAATGGTTGGTTTTTATGTAATTCTGATGCTACAGATGCTGACAAAGTCAAAATTGATATTAACAAAAGATTTGGATTAAACATCAATGGGATAACAATATAAGATCTTCATGACACCATATTGCAAGCTCTAAATTGCCCCAAGTTTGGACAGGTTAGGGATTAATTCCACAGGGATAAACATCTGACATCAACATCAAGTTTTAAATGGACAAAAAATATGTAGAGATAGCCAATACTTTTGAAAAGACACCTGACTTGAAACAGAAAGTGACCATAAAATGTCACTAAAGGCATCAGTTATCTTTCATTGTCCATTTGTACTCTAGAACAAACTTGAATGGACATCCTATTTCAAAACAAAAAAGAGATTGGATAAATAATAAAAATGTTGTCTAGACAATATAAAAGTAATGAGAAATGGATGAGAAAAAAGTTTTTTTTTTATATATGGTGTATTATTTGCCTTTTTAAAGTTTTAATTTGTAATTTTCCATATTTTATTTTATTCAATTTATTGCCTACCAGAATAGGAATTAATTTTCGAAGTACATTCACTAGATTACAATTGGTAATGTCAAAAAATGCAATTCTCCTATCTTAAACTTAACTTAGCTTTTCAGAAGTTATTTTCCTTTACAAAATTTTTGCAATCATATTGATTAGGTCTATCAGTTTTACCAGTAATCAGCGATTTTCAAAAATAGATGCATGAATCTATTTCTGAATTTACAGTAATCATTTTGATGGACCCGTTTAAAATGAATTTATCTTTTACCATTCTGTTGAATTTTTATGAGATTTTTTTTTATTTCAGAGGTTGATTATACACATTCCAAAAAAGATGGATCTTTACTTAACTATTTTTCCAGCAAGAAAAAGGAATCTTCTAAAAATGTGCCAACAAACAGTTCATTCAAAAATACTAATACACAACAAACAAGTGGACAATGTGCTAATATTGAAGGTCAGAGTTCAAAGGATGATTTTGAAGATGACCTGGAACTTTTAATGGATGATGATGACTGGGATGAAGAGCCACAACAAAAAAAAATTAAAACTTGAACTAATATTTTGATTATTGTGCAATAATTACAAGATCTGATGAAGGTGCTATCTCTTATTTTCTGATACATAAGAAACAAATTGTTATAATAAAAATTTTCATTCAGCAGTAAGAAGTTTCCTTTTGAGTTACAGTGACTTGACTATGTGTGTTACTGTATAACTTTACCTACAGCTCAACCTGATTTTAAAATTGACAATACAATAGGGACATTTAAATTGACCAGTTGGTATTGTTAGATTTAAATCTACCTTGATGCTACAGTTTTTTATTTACCTATTCCAACCTTACAGCATGCCTTTTTTCCTGTCAGAAGTTTTTCTTTACCTAGGATTATTCTATTCAAAAATTGATAGGGAAGAAAATATTTTTGGTTTTCATTGTTTTAAATCCCCAATATATATGATTTATCTAATTTTTACCTAAAATTCTAAATTAGTAAAAGATTAAATAAACTACGTGTTAATATGTTTGAAAATTTAAATTTACATAATAAATGCTTCTTCAAAATTTGAACCCTTATACATAGTATTGTCCAGCTGCCAGTGAAACAAGAAATAGCTATTCAGGTGTTTACAGTTTAAATTTTCAGATGGATATGTTGTTCATTTCTTCACATGACCCTTCAAGATTTCTATTTTGGATTATGATTTGCAATGTTTGAAATCTATTTGTATTATTGTGCATACAATATTGGATTTATTTTATTTGAATTCACTTCTCAGACTTTTAATAGTAATTTTGCTTCTTAAAACGTGACTTGTTTTTTCCAAGAATTTATTGTCATGAAGGTATCAAGGAGGAAATAATTCATTCAAACTGTTTTGTGGGGCTTACATATGATGATGTACATGTAAAATTCGAAATAATTTTGGAGTATACCTTGTAGTGTTTTTTCTTTGAAATCTACTATAATATTAGTAGGACTTTTGTGCATAAAATGCTGTGTTCACTCAAGGAAATTCAATTTTCATAAGATGGGATTTAGTTATGTTAAAGATTAAAAAATTTCAAAACTGGAATTCAAGTAGGAGATAAAGTGTGAGTTCAACTAACATGTTTCTGTGGCTTTAAATGTGATTTTGAAAACATTCATTATTAATTTTTGGATCTATTAAAAAGATGATTCACCATTTAAATGGGATCTTGGAAATGATATAAAATATTGAATTAATGCAGTGGATATAGTCTAATCTAGTGATAAAGTGAAAAATAAAAGTAAAATATTCCAAAATATTCCTAACGTGAGGATATGTTTTAAGTGAATGTGAAATTGGAAATAATCCTTATAAAATTCTGGATCAAATATTGTTTAATTTGGACATATATCATAGGAAATGAAATAAAAATGTATACTGAGGATATAGTTAAATCAAGTGATATAGTAAAAATATGAATAAAATATTACAAAATATTTGTAAAGTGAGGATAACTATTTTGAATATAATAATGGAAATGATAAAAAAATTACAAGATTCTGAATTATATAAAGATTTTGCACCTGTTTAATTGGGATGTATATCATGAGATATTAAACAGAATATACTATGGATATAGAAAAAAATCTAATGACGTAGTGAAAAAAGTGAGAAAAAAATCCAAAAAGTTAATAAAATTAAGAAAATATTTAAATCTTTGGAATTCTGGATGAGATGTCAAATATCAGTGTCAATAAATAAATAAAATTGTTTATTTAACTATGATTTTGATAATTTCAATATGCATAAACAATTTGTACAAGGAACATGTCAATAAGTATTCATCAAATTATGGAAATAATAAATTTATTAAGATTTCCACAAGAGCAAAAGCAAATTATATTGAGCTATCTCCCATTAGAAAAGGCCAAAGAGATAAAAAAAAAATGTTCAACAATACAAATGAAATAATGTAGCGATGGAAGTGAGTGAAATATAAGGACTTGATTATTCGGGGTACCTAACACTCCTAGTATTTGGCTATGAAAACATTAAGATGAAATGGAGTGCATTATAGGCCATGCAATTAAATACCATGCAAGAAAATAACATATATACATTCTTGTTTTGGCTTGATCACTCCTAATATTTTAAATGACAGTAAAATAAAAAAATCTCTCTATTTCCTTCTAAATATTGTTTCTTTGGCAATTGTATGACCAATTACTTCTAGGAATACACTCATTTCAATGATAAAAAGATTGTAATGACAATGTTTATTTCCTTTACTTGTTTAAGGATTCTCTAATAGAAAACATGGGATAGTGATTTTTTTTTTTATTAAATCAGAAGTTTTCAACAAATATTTGTTAAATCTTTTACTGATTTAGAATTTTAGGTAAAAATTAGATAAATCATATATATTGGGGATTTAAAACAATGAAAACCAAAAATATTTTCTTCCCTATCAATTTTTAAAAAGAATAATCCTAGGTAAAGAAAAACTTCAGGAAAAAAGCATGCTGTAAGGTTGGAATAGGTAAATAATAAAATGCTCCGCTGGACGCAGCTTAATACGACCACAGAGGTCGAACCCTGAACAGTTGGGGCAAGTATGGACACAACATTGAAGCTTGATACAGCACTGAATTTGGATTGTGATTAAATATTTGACACAGCATAGGTTTCTGACACAGAATGAATGTGGTCTAAGAACTTAAAAAATTTTAATTTACCTATTCAAACCATATCATTATTATTTGCTTTTATATATAAATCAGAAATAACCAATTTAAAATGGAAAAATTTAAAGAAAAAAAAAGGAAAAAAAGGAAAAAAAAATCCCTCCCCCAAATTTTTTGAACCCCCTTATGATTCATCACCCCCAAACTCAATCCTAGCCTTCCCTTTGTGGTATGGTACCTTGCAGTACAATTTCAAAGAGATTCATACACTTGAACACAAGTTATTGTCTGGAAACTAGAAAAATGCTTGTTTTTAGGCCCCTTTTTGGCCCCAAATTCCTAAACGTTTAGAGCAATTACCCCCAAACTCAAACCCAGCTTTCCCTTTGTGATATGGAACCTTGTAGTACAATTTCATAAAGGTCCATACACTTACACACAAGTTATTGTCCTGAAACTAGATAAATGCTTGTTTTTTGGCCCCTAATTCCTAAAATTTTGAGGCAATTACCCCCAAAATCAATCCCAGCCTTCCCTTTGTGGTATGGTACCTTGCAGTACAATTTCAGAGAGATCCATACACTTGAACACAAGTTATTGTCTGGAAACTAGAAAAATGCTTATTTTTGGCCCCTTTTTGGCCCCTTATTCCTAAACATTTTGGGCAATTACCCCCAAACTCAATTCCAGCTTTCCCTTTGTGATATGGAACCTTGTAGTACAAGTTCAGAAAGATCCATACACTAACAAGTTATTATGAAACTAGAAAAATGCTTGTTTTTTTCCCCCTTTTTAGCACACCTGGCCCGAAGGGCCAAGTGAGCTTTTCTCATCACTTGGCGTCCGTCGTCGTCATCGTTAACTTTTTACATTTTGAACTTCTAGAGAACCACTGAATGGAATGAAACCAAGCATGGCATGAATGTTTCTTATGAGGTGCTGACCAAGTGTTGTTACTTTGTAGCTGATCCATCATCCAAGATGGCCGCCAGCGGGGGACTTAGTTTAATATAGGACCCTATGGGAAATACATACAAATGTCTTCTTTTAGAGAACCACTGAATTGAATGAAACCAAATATTGCATGAATGCTCCTTATGAGGTTCTGACCAAGTGTTGTTACTTTGAAGCCGATCCATCATCCAAGATGGGTGCAGCGGGGGACTAGTTTAACATAGGACCCTATGGGAAATATATACAAATGTCTTCTTTTAGAGAACAACTGAATGGAATGAAACCAAACATGGCATGAATGCTCCTTATGAGGTGGTGACCAAGTGTTGTTACTTTGAAGCCGATCCATCTTCCAAGATGGCCGCCAGCAGGGGACTTAGTTTAACATTGGACCCTATGGGAAATACATACAAATGTCTTCTTTTAGAGAATCAGTGAATGGAATGAAACCAAACATGGCATCAATGTTCCTTATGAGGTGCTGACCAAGTGTTGTTACTTTTAAGCCGATCCATATTCCAAGATGGCCGCCAGCAGGGGACTAAGTTTAACATAGGACCCTATGGGAAATACATACAAATGTCTTCTTTTAGAGAACAACTGAATGGAATGAAACAAAATACGGCATGAATGTTCCTTATGAGTTGCTGACCAAGTGTTGTTACTTTGCAGTCCGTCCATCATCCAAGATGGCCGCCAGCGGATGACTTAGTTTAACATAGGACCCTATGGGAAATACATACAAATGTCTTCTTTTAGAGAACCACTGAATGGAATGAAACCAAATATGGCATGAATGTTCCTTATGAGGTGCTGACCAAGTGTTGTTACTTTGAAGACGATCCATCATCCAAGATGGCCGCCAGTGGGTGATTTAGTTTAACATAGGACCCTAAGGGTAATACATACATATGATTTTTCATTTCCTATCGTTAATTATCCATTTTTAGATGGTGACGTTCCCTTGTCACCATCTTACGGTGTTTATATATCTCAACTTGTACGATTCGCTCGTGTATGTAACAATGTTTTAGATTTTAACGAGAGAAATTTATGTATTACTGAAAAATTATTACACCAGGGTTTTCGATATCACAAACTAGTCAAAACATTTACTAAATTATATCATCGGTATAAGGACGTCATTCGTAAATATAGCTCAACATGCAGACTTCTTATACGTTCAGGTATTTCACATCCAATTTTTTACGGAAATATTCTTTATAAAGCACAAAAATGTCAGTATTCACCTCTGAAGCTAACAAAACCTTTAAATAGACTTATTAAGAAGGGATATAGTTACGATACTGTTGTCAGGTCATTAAAGATTGCATATTTTGGCGTTAATATTGATTCACTTATAGGGTCTTTGCATCAGCACTAAACACATTTATTTAATAAAATGCTTCACTGGGCGCAGCTTGATACGACCGCAGAGGTCGAACCCTGAACATTTGGGGCAAGTATGGACACAACATTCAAGCTTGATACAGCTCTGAATTTGGATTGTGATTAAATATTTGACACAGCATAGGTATCTGACACAGAAAGAATGTGGT